ATGGAGGGGGTGGGAGGGGGGTGCTTAAGACCTTATTGTACTTTTCATTTCCAGAAGTTGACTTTTTTTCTTTTTTTGGGGGGGGAGGGGCGGGGTTTGAACTTGGGGCCTGGGCACTGGCCCTGAGTTTTCATTTAAGCAAACACTCTACCACTTGGAACCACAGCACCACTTCCAGTTTTCTGGTGGTTCATTGGAGATAAGAGTGTCCATGTCCTTTCCTGCCTGGTCTGGCTTTGAACCATGATCTTCAGATCTCAGCTATCTGAGTAGCTAGGATGACAGGCATGAGCCACCAGTTCCCAGTGATTGATTTGTTTTTTACGATTTCTATGTCATTATTGGATTCTTCTTTCGCATCCTGTGTTGTCTTTCTTTCTTTGTGTTTACTTTGAATCCGGTTAGGTGTTTGCTGTCCTTGTCACTTTTGTTCGTTTGAATCACTCTTTTGAACTGAACTTCATCTAGGATATCTTCATCCGGGACATCCTCCCCATCCTTAGGATTTATTACTGTGGGATTACTGATTTGGGAGGGGTTATGTTGTCTGTTTCTTCCTATTTCTTTGTGCTTCTGCATGGAGACACGGGTGATGGAAAACGATCTCCAAGCAGTGGCGGTATGCTCAATGTTCAAGTAGAACTAGGTAGGGAAGAGTTGAGGTGCAGTTTCTCCCCCCAGTAGATTATGGGTACAGCGAGTAGCCGACCTCATAGAGGAGAAAAGCGGCTGCGGTGTGTTGTAGCTCCTGGGGCCAGGGCGGCTCTGTCTCTGGTGAAGGCCGAGCTGCTGGGTCAGGCATGGGCTTCAGGCCTGCTCTCACTTCACAGCTTCACTTCTGTGTGGACCAGGAGCCACTGTTGGTTACAAGCAGCTGGGCAGCCTGTGGACCAGGCCAATCCCCATGCCCCCCATGGGTTCCCAGCACGGTCCCCAGCGTGGGGACACCAAGCCAAGGGGGTCCCTGAATCAGTGTCAGAGAATGGGGTCCACAAACCTCACATTGAGTTGTGCGCTCGCGTGGGAATGCTGAGAGAATCGGGCATCCTGCCTGGTGTCTCGCCTCTCAGACCCTTCTCAGCACTGAGCTGTGCGTGGAAGGAAGAGAGAGGGAGGAATCCTCGAGACCCAGACTCAGCTACCGCAGTGTGGCTGGGCAGCAGGCACCGCGCCACCCCCTGGACAGCTCCCCCAAGCCAGGAAATAGAGATGGGAGAGGGTTCATTACTTGTAACAAGGAAGGCGGACGCTGAGGATCAATTCCAAAGCAGTGTTTGCCTGAGTCAAAGGCAGCGGAGACCTTCTTACTGGGGAGAGTCAAACGTATTCCTATGAACGCACGCGTGTCCGGATGGGGAAGATTTGTCAGCTCTCACAGACCTGGGAACATCCTGTGCTCTGTGCAAGGTCAAATATCACAGAAAAACAACCAAAGACAGAGGAAGAGGCCTGAGGACGGAGAATTTAGTACTAAACGAGCAGCTTACTCAATGCCAACTAAAAAGAATGAGTTGAGATTTGGGCCTGGTTTTTGTAAGTTTCTCTGAAAGGCTTTACTTTACTTTACAACAACAAAAAACCCTCCAAAGGTATGTATTAAGAGATATTTAAAGGAGCAGCAGATTATTCTATACACAGCTTGCTCCCTAAAAACAACGCCTGGCAAAGGATCCTACTTCAGAAAGGAAATGTTTTTGCAAAGCTGACAGTTTCCTCTAAACTTAGTTCTTCTTCACCTTCACCACCTTCTCCTCCCCTCCTCCTCCTCCTCCTCTTCCTCCTCCAGGTCATCCTCCTCCTCCTCCTCCTCCTTCTCCTTCTCCTCCTCCTGCTCCCCCACTTCTTCCTCCTCTTCCTCCTCCTCTTGCGCCTCTTCCTTTCTCTTTCCCCTTCCCCTAACCCTTCCCCCTCCTCCCCTCCCCTCCTCCTGCTCCCCCACTTCTTCCTCCTCTTCCTCCTCCCCCCCTCCTTCTTCCTTTGCAAGCCATTCTTTTTGGATGAAGTTCCCATACCTCCTCCAGTAGCTGGAAGCAATGGAGCCTTGTCCCATCATCCCA